ATTTTAATTTTATTCAAATTAACTTGATTAACATTTTAATAAAATGCAAAATTATTTTCGTTTCATAGAACGATTTTATCGATAAAATACAGTAAATCTTGAATATTTTCATTCAATTAATAAATTCAATGATTAACTTTCAAGGTGAATGAAAAGTATAATGATTAATGAAATTGCAAATTATTAGTTTTGAATTAAACATCATGAATAATTTTTTCTTATTATTTACTTAATGTGTAATTGATTTGTTTTTCTTTTTTTTTTAGATTGGACGAGACGAAGAGAGGAAATAGAATGAGACAGCTTTGTTCGTATTACACAAAGACGCCGCGCTGTGGCGCGCATGTCACTCTGTCTCTGTCTCTCTTCATCTAACGCAAACTTCAATCGTACGCACATCTCAATAAATAAATCTTAACTCAAACAAAATTTTTGTATATCAATTTATGTTTTTTACTCTCTCTTTTAGCTCTTTCAATTAATTCTTCAAAGATGATGACACGAATATATATCGAAACTCTATCTATACGTCTATCTTTTTGTTAGAATTATCTTTTTGCTGATGTCATCAATTACAAGTGATCGTCTAATGTCAAAAACATCGATAGACGAGTAATCAACAATAAAAATTCGGCTATTTGGCGCACGTGGACAACGTATCATCGCTGGAACATGGACAAAGCACATGCGACATTCTCGCGTAATACCGGCTTAATATTCATCGCGACGGAATGGCCCGATTACAAAACTGTGCCGCAAAACACCTGGTAATTCGATAATGATGACTGCGTGTAGTGCTATGGGACGAATCGTAGACGTCGAACCGTTTCGAAATTGGAATCAAAAGCTTCTCCAAGTTTTCTCAATTGCATCAATTATCGACGCTTCGTTCATCCCTCCATGGTTGAAAATTCTGCGACTGAGATTGAAAAGATTTAATAGATAATAAGATTAAAGCTTTCGAATATTTGCAATAAAGTTGAAAGAATTTAGTAGATATAGTATGATATATTTGATTAATTCGTTATTTGAAATCGATTTCGATGAAAAACAACTTCGTCATCATCGCCTCATTTTTTTTTCACTATCTTTTAATCTAATTTCGACTTCGATTGTTTTTCAATTTAATAGATTTCAATCGATATTCTTGTGTATCAATTTTTGTATTTATTCTGATTGTTATGGATAAACTTTCCAAAAGAAAGCATAAACATATTAATATCTTGTATATGTTTAATTGTTGTGTATACATGTATTCATTATTACATTACATGAATTAAATTATAATTAATAATTAGTCATAATTATCGAATGTTTCATATAATTTTGTTAACTATATTATACTAATATTATTAATAATTTTATCGTTATTTATATTATTTATATTTTTTAATCAAATATATTCCATAATGAATTCCTAAATTTTATTTATTTTATCAATAATAACATTTTACATTTATATATTTGGTATATTTGGACATAAATTTTTCTTTTTATTTTCATACATTCATATTTGAGATCTATTATCAATAAAGACGAATAGCAAAATGAATTAAATATAGTAGTCACTTTGTGCCAAAGTGATTTGTAAAATATTTTCGTCTAATTTTATACGTTTACACAAGGCTGATCTTTCAAGGCTATAGTTTGGTAATTTCAACACTAACAAAATTCTCTTTATACACTTCGCATATGTTCCTCTTCTTCTTATTTCGTCATTAAAATTTAGACCTTTGAAACATGCAAATCACTCGATAAACACTTATTAAATATTAACAACATATTAACACTTAAAAATTTTTATTTTAATTTTATCAAATGAATATTCTTTTTAATTTTATCACGTTCACAATTCTTTGTAATTATATGTATATTGAATCACTTGTTGATTTTATTATTAACTCAAAATTAAGAGATATTTCCTGCGATTATTTTGCTACTATTATCTGCAAATTCTGGTGAATCATTCTATAATAATATATTCAAGCGTATTGGATATTATTGCTATGATTCGGAATAGTCATAATCAGTGACTAAACATTTATCGATAAAAGCATTTAAAAGTCATTGTAGCTTGATTCACGAATATAGATTTCATCATTTGTTTAAAAAAAAAGAATAATGATTCTTGAAATATGATGAATAATATGCATATTCTAGAGTAATAAATTCATAAATCTTTATGTTATTTAGAGTTTTATGTTCTAAAAAAAAATTATTCCGAATAAAGACATCATTTCAAATGATATATTGTTGAAAATTGAAAATTTTGTGAAATAATAAACTTTTTTTCGAACTTTAAAAAAATAAATAAATATTAATATATAATAAATTAATTTATTGTCTAATATAATGCCTAATGTTTATAAATATATTATCGTTCCAACAAACTTTCTACTTTTAATTTTTCCGATTCCAAAATCTACTATTTTACTATTGATTTCAAAGTCAATAAATTTATCTTCTATGAATCAAAATTCTCATAGAATATCTTTGCATAATGTAGCAAAATATATAATTTCATTAACATAGATAATATATAATGCTCACAATTTTCCTATATTTCCTATAATTTTCATTTAAGTCATATAACTGGTTGTTAAGCAAATAAATAGATAATGCCTTTAAATATGTAAATAAGTAGTAAATAGATGGATGAACAAATAAATAGATGAAAATACAAGAATAGAAGTGGGTAGATGGATAGCTAAATAAATATGTACATAACTATGTAGAATGAAATGATAAATAGACTAGGAATAAATAAATAGAATACCTAAATAAAAAAAATTATTAATAATATAGTTAAAAATACAAATATATAATATAACAAATAAAAATCAATTCGTCTATAGAAATTTTTTTATAGAAAATGGAAAATAAATATCGAATGAAGAAACAATGAATAAAATAAATAAAAGAAAGTAAGTAATAATTAAAATAATTAAAAAAATTAACTTAAAATTTAAAATATTTTAATACAATTATATTTCATTGCAAAATTTTTATTATATTATATATAAAGTGAAGAAGAAAATAATTTTTTAAAATAAAATATATTCTTTAAATGAAAAAAAATAATTCCTTGTGAAGAGGATATCATAAATTAATATTTTCAAAATTATAAATAATTTTTTATTACAACGAACAGCTCTTTCGCTTCAAAAGCAATTCTTTGATCTAAAGATATCGAATAATGAAAATAGAAATAGGTTCTTCTAGGCAAAGAGAGAAAGATAGATAAACAGAGAGAAAGAAAGAGAGAGAGAGAGAGAGAGAACGTTAAAACAAAATAGAAAGTCTTTTATTAATTTTCAAAGAATATTTGTTTAAACACTAATAAAGTTCCTTTCTCTCGCATCTGACTCGTAAATAATATATCAATCTTTTCTAAAGTCTATGTTTCGTAATTTTTTTATACATTCTTGATCATACAATATACATTCTCTCCATGTAAAGAAATTCTTTTTATCGTACGATTTATAAATAATGAAATTTATTTTTATATTTTTCTAATAAATTCTTACATTTTTACAATAAATTACAAATAGATTCAAAGTTTCAAAGTAAATATTGAAATATTTTAAGGATAAACTATCATCTTGAATCGAGATAAACGATTGCTTAGCGTCAAATATTTGTCAGGGAATAGTTGTCGTGAAGGATAAATTCAACGCGAATTATTCTTACGAACGGATTGGTTGTGGGGAAAACCTGGAATTAAGTAGAAACGTAGTAGTCTGAATGTCGTGTTTCATGGAACCAATAATAATAGGGGGAATTTGGATGATTGCGAGGACTTGGAACGGTCTCAAGAGTTACAAAGTGCATCGATACTCGAGAGGAACATCTACTTTCGTTTAATAAATCACTAGCGCTTCACTTCTGTTCATCATATTTGATTTTAAGAATTTATCAATTTATATTATTCCTGGGATACCTTAGGCATCGAGATTCGACACATCGAAATATTTAAAATTTCTTAAAATCTGGGAACAGATTTTGGATCAAACATGACTACGCAAAGTTTACAATTACGTAGATGGAAAAGGAGGGATTGTTGGGTGACGTGGAAAATGTATTCCCAGCTCACGGTGGACGCGTTTACATGAGCCACGGAAGATTCCCAAGATTCTTGGCGAACGGCCAAACACAATGAGAGATAAAAGTCGTTCATTCCCTCGGCAGCATCATCGTAGAGGCTGAGAATTCGCAAATCGGGAGCCGCGGTTGCTCGTTTTGTTTTGGCTGCGTTTAGACCTGGCTTCTTCTTCGCTCGCATAATTTCGCGTCCGATCCTTCCAAGTAAAATAATTTCTTTGCTAAATAATTACCTCAACCCTCTTGCATTTGCACCATTGTCCGCTAAGTTTCGATCAATCGGAAAGAAATGAAAAAATCGTGCGACTTACGATCCAATTCTTTCCACATTTTATTTATTTTAATGATTTCTTTCTTTGTACACGAGAAACGATTGCTGCTCCCTTCAGAAGAAATTGTAATTTTTAAGAAATATGAATTATTTAAATAAGTAAACTCTTATCCTTATCGCAAACGAAGTGTAAATATTTTTTTTATCTTATAATTTGTATAAAATTTGAAATTATAATAATATATTAATGATAAGCAAAGAATATTAAAAACATATGGTAATTCAAAATATAAAGTGATCCTAAAAAATTAAGTAATTAATTTTTTTCTAAAAGTTAAAATTGAAAAAAATTTGCATAAAACTAAAAAAAAGAATATAATGAGAGTAAAAAAGATAAAAAGAAACTAATTGAATACATTAACATTCCTATTTTTCCATTTAAGAAATAAAAAATCGAATCATTAATCTAAATTAATTCATTATTATGCGTATTAGAATATTCGGTACGGTAAGTTCTAGAAACAAGAGATAACACGTTTACTTACCATTGCTACGATGATGTCTGGCATGATTTTGATTTTATCTAGAATTATATACGAAGTAATAAGGAAAAGCAAATTACAACATATTATATAAGCAGCGTGCAGACTTATATTTGTTTAAAAATATAACGATATCATCAGTTATTGAGTCACGAAACAACGTACAGCCAACACGGTCGACCGTCTTGAAAGAAAGACCTAAAGATATCCGAAAAATTGAATAATCCTAACCGACCATTATAAACACGTTGAATCGTGTTGCAAAAAGGTTGAGAAACACTGCGGGACGCAGGATCAACGTTAAACAACGGTTCCTTTCCTATTCTTTTATTTCTGTATCTTCTCTCTTTCTTTCTTTCTTTTTTTTCTTTTCTCTAGTTTCAAAGCAAACGTAAACCGTCGTACGAGTTTTTGAGGAAAAAAAGTAGAAGCGAAAGAAAAACGGGGAAGACAAAGGGCGAATTAAAAAAAGAAGGCGAGCACGATCCGATCGGGGGGACCGTGGTGAGAGAGAGTGGGAGCGTAAGTCCGCTTTGCGAGCGGGGTCACCCGGACCCCGGAAGAGCGGGCGAGTGGTGGGGATTAAGGCGAGGCCGCGACATAGCGAACATAATAAAAGTCAGTCCCAGCGTTCGATGCGGTCGGGGATGTTTCTTGATCGTTCTCCAAAAGGTATCGGCCGTGCCTGCGTTCCAACTCCTCTCTTCTCCTCTTCTCGTTTTGACCTTGGCCACCTGGTTTCCCTGTTCCGCATTCTAAAAATGTTTTGTACCGTGCGAAGATAGCCAACCGCGATAGACACCGATCCTCTTTCGTCATTATCCTTTTCCGCCATTTAATGCCTTTCGCTCGATCGCTCCAACCATCCTCCAATCCTCTAAATTATCCTTCTCTTTCCTCATATTCCCCTCTTTCTTCTAAACAAGAAGATGTCGTAATACTTTTAGCCTTATCTTTCTCTTTCTTCTTCTTTTTAAAAGTATATAATTAGCCTTATCTTTCTCTTTTTTCTTCTTTTTAAAATTTTTATAATTTAAAAGTATATAGTATAAAGCAGTTTTTTTTTTTGGAATTAAAATCAAAATGTTTCTTGAATTAATTTGTTGATTTGTTTTATTCGTAATATTATTTTGTCCTTTTCATCTTTCGTTTCAATCAAAAAATATTCAATCTCTCTCTCTCGTATTCTGAGCTAATGTATTTTTAATCGTTTAATTAATCGTTTAATTAAATCGACGTGTTATAGGAATGATATCAATAGATGGAAAAAAAAAAAGAAAAAGAACAAAAGATCGATAAATGGTTATTTGTTATAGTTCGATGTTATTCTGACAAGATATAGATTACGATTAAATTTTGATCATAGATATGCTTGAAATTTCCTCTGGCTTTTGAATCAGTTTCTTACTACTTTTAGATTATGACTTATAGGTACTGAGATGCAACGGAGCACGCCAACTAGAAACAAGATTATCATTCGCACCAACAAATGCTTTTTATGATGTTTATCGTTTATCCGATTGCAAATCAGGACATAGCTATAAATTGTAAATTATAATAAACTATCAATTCGATTCTATAATGATTTCGATACCCGTTGTAAAATAATAACTTTTGGTATTACAAAAGCAATCTATAAAGTGAATAAATAAACTCTTTTATCAGAGATTTATTAAATTTATTACAAGTTATAAATTAAATTTGGATTAATCAAATATTAATTAAGTATGATTGTCACGATTATTCGTATGATATTTCGTATTTAATTACTTTATGAAATTATAATCGTTTAGCTCGATTATAATTTGTAATATTTGCAAATATTAATATTTATTGAAAAATTTACTAGAAGATATATTATAAAATTTACATTAAATCAATACGTTCCGCAATTTTTTAGATAATAAGTACGAGGTAACAAAGTTGCGCAATAAATGTTTCATAGATATAAAAGTATGAAATTTAAATTACAAAACTGTAACATTGTGGAACGAATTGAAATTACGGAATATTTTACGTATAGCGAATTAATATAATTACCGCAATTTTAAAATTATTATCTGTTGCCTGATTTATTCGAAGAAGTTAAGGAAATTTACAGAATATTACAGCAACAATAATAATCATTGCATAGAATAAAAATTTATTATTTATTTTCAGTGTTTCTATCTGCTTAAAGCAGCGAAGAAAAAAGGATATTAAGATGGAATTAAAACTGAAAAAAACAATTACACTTCTGGTATGCAGAAAGTTAATTATATTTTATAAAAAAAAAATATATATATATATATAATATTATACCTGAATAATTGATTAAAAACGTGAAATAATAAATATTAGAAAATTTCTATTTATATCAAATTTACGGCATATTTATGCAATTTCTTTTCCAAGAAATAAAAAATTAAATCTAGGCAACCGCATTATTAAATAAACAGGATAGAATCTACAATTTCTAAAAATCACGATCGTTCCTTTTCTCGATGAGAAAAAGACAAGAAACATTCGTTTCTGCGAATACATCACGTTTTCTTTAAACTTCTCTTTCGATTCGCGTTTTCGGTTATCGGGCTCGAATCGATTATTTAAACACGAAGAGAGGGAGAGGGAAAATATAAACAAATTGAACGACGAATGTCGATTCAACGATTACGAACGATTACAACGAGATGGATTTCTTAAAATTTAGTGACTCACATCCTTGGCACACGTGCGATTTCACTATCACGCTTGTGCAGGAAATGAAATTTTAGAAGCATATACAGATAGATAGATAAAGAGAGAGAGAGAAAGAGAGAGAAACTGCGGATGTTTATGTGAATGTAATATAATTAAATAAATATTACTTTATTCCTACAGAGAAGTCAGTATTGAAACTTTACAGTTGATTTTTATTTTTGACGCTCAAAAGTTCAAAAGAAATTAAATTTATATGAAATTAAAATAACAAATTATTATCTGAAATAATGCATTATAATTATATAATTGCGATCTATTATTTTCAATATTAATATTTGAAAATATATACAAAGGATATCCAAGTATAATCGATATGGATAAACTTCACTTTTGGAAAATTCAAAATAATTTTTTTTTTTTTTTGCTCGATTTCCTGTCCAAATAATCGTTATTGTTAAGAAAAAAATCATTTCAAGGTATCAAAATACGTATAAATCATATTTCGTGTACAAAGTAATAAACTCAAATTTATCGTTATCGCGGTATTCAAACATTAATGAGAGTAATTGTACGTTTTATATAAAAATATACATTTAGAAAGATTCACGTACAAACATTCACGATGCAGAAATTATAACTCTTTCACAAGAAGTTTACAAATTTGCTGATACTTTCCTGGCCGAAATTATCGCTCGAACGATAATAACACGTGCGCACAAGGGCGTACATAATAACAGAGTAGCAACTTTTAATTTATTCGGACGCCGATAATTTGTAAATTTTAATTTTATCTTCATCGCTACACGATGCCAGGGATTGACTATTTTTTGCTTTCATAAGGTTACATTTTTCATATCGCCCTTTAGACGGGAGACTTAATAAGAAGTTCAAAAGTACTGTGCAATTTCATAATTGTTTCACGCAATCTCGTGCTATTTACGCTCTTAATTAGTATATTTAAAATTTATGCTAATAAGTTGGATACGCTAAGGGTATTTTATCTTTGCATTCATTCTTTTTTCTTTTTTTTGTTTCTTTTTATAGTATATAAAAAGATTTTTTTTTTAATATAAATTAAAACAAATAAAAAACTATGATGAATTGAAGATGAAAAATTGAAACGCTATTACAATTTACAATTTTGCGAAAAGATTATTTTAGTTCGATAACATGAATTTCTGAATATTAACATTCTCGTAAATTCAAAATATTCGTCAATTTTTCTGATTAAATTTGACCAAAATATTTCTTCGAATTTATATCTAATTATTTTTCTACGAAAAGTTGGTCAAACGAGCGACATAATCGCAAAAAGAAGAAAAAAGAAAAAAAAAATGGAAACACGTTCCATTCAATGTCGAGATATATTCTTTAATTGAGTTTCGATGCATTACGAGAGAAAAATTATAACTTGTTGGCTACGAGCGTTAACCAATTCCGGAACTTTAATTGCAAATTAAAGTTTCATAAACATCGGTGGAATTTAGAAAGAAGACCGTAGGACGCAATTATGTATAATAAGGAAATTCATGTATCGTAATTGCAAATTAATTTTCATTCAAACCAGTCGTAAGTTTATTATATAGAAAGAAAGAGGAGGAGCTGGCTGAAGGAAACGGATAATCACGGATGAAAACGTTTAAATTTCCTCATTGGGGAACCGAGACGAGACTTCCTCGATAACTGTTCCTCAGGGATCTAATCGTTGATGAAAATTTATGAACAGAGATGCGATGAGATTATTCCCTTGTCGATCGAAAATTTCTAAACGTGCAACAATTTTTATTCATCAAGTTTCAAAAAGATATATCATTTTCCTTGCATTGTTCCTCATTAGAATTGGTAAGTAAATCTTTTTCTTAATTTCAATTTTAAAAATTTTAATCACGTTTTCTCTAACGCGACTTCTCTATCGACTTGCTAGATCTTTCCATACAGATATATAAACGAGCGAACGATTGACTTCGATTCGTGGAATCGACGTATATAATATAAGAGAGGAAAGCGAAAAACGCGTGGAATACAGGAAAGTAAAAATTATCATTATGAATCGTAGATGTTGCAAAACCGATTCTCATCGCGATAGATACGTATCAATCGGAATAAATCTATTACCTTTCAAACTGCTATCTCGTTTCGACTCGTGGAAATGTCGTGGAATTCGTTCTCCGTGGAGAGGCTTGCCCCACGGTTTCTACTTTTAACGCGGCACAGCCGCAGTTACAAGTGACCCGTTTCGTGGCTGCAACCACGTAAACACGAGTAGCAATCCGACGTAAACGTCGCTCGACTTTCGCGAACGCGTCTTCTGCTGCACCGGCGAGATTACATTGAAAGTCGGCCCGTAAGCGGTAAATGGCCACTTTCAATTGTAACGGCAGAAATCTCGCGCAACTTTCCATTTCGATCTGGCATATTGTTCGGAGGGAGCTTCTCGCTCGTCTTTCATCTCGCTCGAAACGGCAATAGCGGCCCAGTGGTTCCCAAATTTCCACCATTTTCTCCTCCATATCTTCTCTCCATTAATTGAACTGTGAAAGTGAACTCGTACACGTATAATAGAATATCGTGATAATACCAATACTTTTTCTCAGTTTCGCGATGAATAATTATCAATTAAATTCATTAAATAAATTGATAACTCCATTTTAACGAGTTAATCGTAAATGGTAAACGTTGAATGGTAAATCGTATTAATAGAACAAAACGCTTGAGCTATCATGTAACACGTTTATGTGTCTCTACACGAAAATAGGTCGGTGTAATGATTAGCAGAATAACTCGTTACCTTGTTATCTTGTATACCACAGTCGCAACTGAACTAATTCCTTGCATTCTGCGCGTGTATATTAACATATAAATTCGTAGTACCGTATATATTGTATATATATACACTAATAAGTAAAAATAAATTATGAAAATCGTTCGATTTATCATTATTATCGTGATATTTACACGTGATATTATCAATCAATAATATCGCAATAACGTGATTCGTGCAATGCGAAAAAATTCTCTGTTCTAATTTCGAAAAAAGAGAAAAATAATGCATCGTAAGACGGATGAAGAAAGAAACAAGAGTACTCGAGATGTATCTGATGCGAACGTTCGAAAGGGATGAAAAGGAAGGCTGCATAAACACTTGTATACACGGGTGACATCAGAGACAACGAATTAATTAAAGCATTAAATTCACCGCGCGATTATAAGGAACAATTAAGGTCGTACATCGAAACGGAAACTGGTGTTCTCTCCGCTCTTCGGTTCAACTATTGTCGCCGACGTTTTACAAGCTTAACTGGACGGTTACCAGTTTTTAGAGTGCGCGCTCGGCTGGGCTTTAGCAGCCGGTGGACGGGGCATCGAGCCGATTAAAGTTCGGGATAAAGTTTAATTGGCCGAGAGAAGCAAAAGCGCGGTAACGAGCTGGTAATTAAGCAATTATCGTAGCAACCGCTGCTACTTACTTCTTTTGAATAATCCATTTTATTATCCCTTGGAAAATCCACCGATATTCACACACCCCTTGTTACCCCAATTGTTTCCTCCTGTCTTCCATTTCCAGAGGTTTCGAAGCAAGTTTTTGTTTGATAACAAAGAGAAAAAGGGAGAGAGAGAGAGAGGCTTTAAAGGATCATCTCGTATAATTAGTATACAATAATAAATATTCCATTTTTTAATTTCAAAGCAATGTTTATTATTAAGAAATTTAAGTAATCCTGAAATATGTCAGAGATAACAATTTATATCTTTTCAAATTGGTTCTAAAGCAACGTGACAGAGATATAAGCGCCTTATTCCATCTCTCTCTTTTTATTTCATTTTACGGAAATTTCAATTAATAGGTTAATAAATAAACCTCGTTCGACATTTTCATATCATCAATCTTCGTGTTCTGGCCTCTAGCATTGATCTTCCGAAGATGAATATATATATTAATATTATATATGTAATAAAATTAAAACATCATTTTTTTTTTCTCATCCATAATACTTTGGCTAATGTAACGTTAAATTAACGGGGAATATTATCGAACTAGCAAAGATTTTGTTTTATTTTATTACTAATTTTGTTTTATTCGAAACGAATAGATATTCTGCGGTCACCAATGGTTAATTTGATTTTACATAAATAAATTTTGAGAAAATATTCATTCGATATATTTCGAATATTTTATTTCAATAACCTCGCTTTCAAATAAAGCGATTTCTATCTAACGTTGGATTGGGCACTTAACGTCGATACTTTTTGTTAACAGAAAGTTAAGGGTGAAGTACAGGGAAATTTATGTAGTTGTTCACGAATGGATGTTAAATATTGCGGAGAAATATCGTAAAATCGTTGTAATATATCACGATACGTTTACGAACACACTATAGTAATTACTAACCTAACGACGTCGTCACTTGTTGCACCCACGACAAAGAAAGATGTCGCGTCGTGGAAAAACAATCGTCGTTTTCGTGAATGAGCGAATAGAAAATTTTTAAATTTGAGACGAGTGTAATTGGTTTTCCATCGATTGTCATTCGAACGCAATTCGATAAATATTTATCGAACCAGAGAAACGAAATATATATATATATATTTACTATATATATACGAATATATATGGTATATCTTCCAATTCGAAATTGAGAGATCTTCGACGATAGGTAAAATTAACGTCGCATTTTCGTTTGTTTCACCGGATGGCAGCATTATTTCCCTCACTTTTGATATTTTAATGAAAGAGATGTTATTTGAACTCTTGACATTAACGAGAACCGACTTT